AGCGCCAATGACCGATGATGCTCGCAACCCTCCCACGCCCTTGCTGGCTTGGTAATAGGCCCAGACAAGCGCAGCCACATGACCCGGCGGAAGAAGAACGCTCGGAACGAGCGCTTCCTCCCCTAAAACGCGGAAGGATCCGCACATGTGTAGGAAGTGCAAGGCGCGCTCTTCATACGCGAGCACCAATGATTGATGATGCTCACAACCCTCCCACGCCCTTGCTGGCTTGGTAATAGGCCCAAACAAGCGCAGCCACATGACCCGGCAGAAGAAAAACGCTCAGAACGAGTGCTTGTGAAAACTAGAACGAGAATGAAGAAGAGAGGGCGTTCACTAGAAAGCAGCAGGATACATATAGGAAACCCTAAGGGGTTGTACTCGCTATAGAGTACCCCACTGCAGGCTAGAGAACAGTAACATTATGACACACCCCCATAGCCAAAGTGGGGTGTAATCAGCACAATGAGCAAGCAGGCATAGAGCAGGAGTTCACAATAGGTAAGTAAGGCTAGAGCTAATCACAGAGGGCAAGTGAGGAGGAGGAGAGACTGTGGGGGAGAGAAGATGGGAGGCGACTGCTGACGCTGCAGACACATAGACAAGCTGCTGGCTCAGTGGCTACCGAAGCAAAGGCCCGGACTACAGGAATAACTGGCTCCGCGGCTAAAAGTAGCGGCAGACGAGCAACTGACCCAGAGGCGACTGGCGACTACCGGAGATTGTAGCCTACGGACTGCTGGTGCTGCTGACGACAAGACTGTTGCCTCCATGCAACCTCCCCCAGCTGCCCAACGCCCCTCTCACACACCCCCTGCTCAAACCCTAACCCTACACCCACAGCACCCCCGTAAACCCTAAACCCCAGACGCCCACACATCCACCTCCCTCAAAACCCTAGCTCCACTCCCACAGTACCCCCCTTAAACCCTAAACCCCAGGCTCCCACACATCCACCCCCCTCAACGACAGCTGCAGCAGTGGGAGACAAAGGAGGAGGAGGAGCAGGGGAGACCACACACCCGTCACCCCCTTCTTGCCACCCCCAAACCCTAACACAGGGCAGGGCGGGATGGCGGGTAGGGAAGGGGGGGGGGGGGGGGGGGGGGGGGGGGGGGGGGCGACGCGCGGCCTCCCAGGGCGCCAAAGCAGGCGGCAGAAGGGGCGACGCTCGCCCCCCCCCCCCCCCCCCCCCCCAGGTTGCCTCGACAGGCGACGGGAAAAGGGGGTGGGGGGGGGGAGCGGTGCACCCGTGCGCCGCGGCTGGCGGCGGGGCATGGCCGGGGCGGGGCCGAGGCCGCTGTAGGCGGCGACGGGGCCGAGGAAGGGCGGCGACGGGGCCGCTGAAGGGCGGCGACGGGGCCGCTGAAGGGGTGGCGACAACGGGGCCGCTGAAGGGGCGGCGACGGGGCCGCGGAAGGGCGGCGACGGGGCCGCTGAAGGGCGGCGACGGGGCCGCTGTAAGGGGCGGCGACGGGGCCGCTGAAGGGGCGGCGACGGGGCCGCGGAAGGGCGGCGACGGGGCCGCTGGGGCCGCGGAAAGGGCGGCGTCGGGGCCGCTGAAAGGGCGGCGACGGGGCCGCGGAAGGGCGGCGACGGGGCCGCTGAAAGGGCGGCGACGGGGCCGCGGAAGGGCGGCGACGGGCCACGAAAGGGGCGGCGACAGGGCCGCGAAGGGGCCGCGAGGGGCCTGGAAGGGCGGCAACGGGGCCGCGAAGGGGCCGCGAGGGGCTAGGAAGGGCGGCAACGGGGCCGCTAAGAGAAGCGCGAGGGGCACGCCACGGGGCGTGCCGAGCACAGAGTAGCAGCGGAAGCAGTTGGGTCCTAGGATCGGAATCGCTCTGATACCATGTGAAAACTAGAACGAGAATGAAGAAGAGAGGGCGTTCACTAGACATTCGCGCAGATAGCGTCGCTTATTCTGGTTTTGCCCCCTTCCTTTTAACCTACCATTCCCCTTTCCAGGTCGACTACTATAAGCGTTTTTGCGGTGGACATGCGCACACGTACTGACGATTACGCGCCATTCAGCAGCTTCTTTTACAAGTTGTAAGGTTCTAATATCAGTGGTAACATATTTGTGTTGTTTCCTACGATTGCATCTACTTCATTTACTCCGTTGCGGCAACTGTGCGGCATCTCACTACTCGAGTGCGAGGCAACCGGTTTGCATTATTGTGCATCTGCTGTCAGTTTTGCAGCACGCTACTATTAACCCCACGTCCCACACTGTGTTGTGGCAGCTTTTCTGTACTCGACGGCGCGGAACAGTGACTCCGTTTGGGTGCATATCGCGACGTGGAACCATCACCCATGTTATTACAACCACTTTTTTTTCCGTTGCTTCACTGATGTTCAAAACCTATGTCATATCTCCTTGCAGGCTTTCTCAACAGCCATCTGTTGCAACTAAGGCTGCACCAGGTTGACGGTTTTCATCAAACCAGGTTGACGGTTTTCATTTCGGCGGATGTCCACCTTCTCGCGGTAAGCATGCCCACATTTAGCGATGGAGTATTGAGTTTCCGGCTATATGTTTTGTGTTTGCAACTCCTCGTCATGTTCATTTCCTGTTTGTAGTGTTCTCGGTAGGCTAAATATTTGTCTGTTGGTGTCTCGCACAATCTGCTATCCCTAACCCCTCAGGAGTCGTAACTGCAAGTTGTGTTTGCTTGTTTTGCAAGGCGTATCTGTTGTTGCAGGCTTATCGTCAACCAAAAATGCATGCTGTGTTATTTTTTGCCAATACTGCGTACTTCTAACCCCAATGGAAGTAATCAGTGAGTGGAAATGCATACTTGATTTGCATGTTTCACAAGCTTTAACTTGCTACTTTTCCAAGCAGGCAATATCAAGATGGCAGCACCAAATGTTACATCCTGGTTTTTGCTGTGCTGAAGGAATAGTAACTGTAGTTGTATGGGGCATATTGGTATTTTGTATGCAGACCCTTTTATATTAGCGGGAGAAGTTATAAACGTTAAATTATGAAACCCAACAAAAACAGAGCTTGAATTGAATCCGTGGCTAATAATAATGATATAATCGCCAGCCAATAGGAGGTCGTTACCGCACACAAAAAATGCTCTCTGATTGGTCCATAAGACGCGCTCGTGCCCGTTGATTTTAATCTGATCCGACGGCTGTCGTTGGAGTACGATGACAGCCACGTCAGCATGTTTCAGTTTCATCTAAAGTACGTCGTATGCCACGTGGCGCTATCGTAACACTTTCGCGTAGGTCGCTCAAGGGTGACGTTTTCCGCCCCCCTAGTTGCTTTACCGTATACCTCACACTTGCACCGAAGTGTACAGTTTGTGTTGGGAATGTGACGGGGAAGTCACTTCGCAAGTTACTGACGCTACCACTGTTTTTGAGTTAGACTTTTTTTTTGCGCGGCGAATGCAACTCCAAAGTTACGAAAGAGCCATTTTAAAGTTTTTTTTGGCACTTGCCTTTTCCGCGATGATGCCACCAGCATGTCGCTCTTGAACTCGGCTGCGCAGTCGGTTTGCCAAAGCTTGAGCTTGCAGCCGGACTGAGTTTCGACGTTGCTGTGCCACGTCATACGCCTTGCTCCTATGAGAGACATTGGCTACCCAGACAAAGCGAGAGTGAGCGTCAACGAAGGCAAGAGTATATTCTTCGCCGTTGATGCCTGACTTGGTTAGGACAAGAAAGTCGCTGTAAACTTTCCGGAGCTTGGCGTAGCGGTTCGTGCTTGGCTCGAGGACCTTGAAGGGCCCGTGTTTCAGTGCGGCTTCAGGGCAGACTATGCAGTTGGTGCGGTGATTGGTATCAACAGTAAGGGGGGTACCATCGGGGCGGAGCAGTGTGCCAGGAATAAAAACGTTGCCGCGGATGCAGTTGTTGAGGACCTTTTACGAGGGGTGTCCGAGGCGCCTGTGCCAGAGATCAGGGGGTGCGCGGAGTGCAGGTGAGTGGGCAAAGAAGGTGAGCAGCTCAGCTGTGTTGGTTGGTGCAGACTGCGAGAGTGGGTGTGGTGAGATGGAGAGGCTGAGGGCAAGGATGAGGTCGCGAGCAGTGAGCTGTGGGGCTGGGGCTATTGTTGTGAGAGCATCAAGCGGAGCCGTGGTATCTTCTATGTCAGCTGTGCCTTCTGTGAGGTTGAGGCATGGGATGAAGTGTGGTGGCAGACCTTGGATGGTGGACTCCGATGTCAAGCCGGATGGACTCCGATGTCAAGCTAAGGCCGCCATGGATTCTGACGAGCGTTTCAATGCTGGCAATGTCTAGGCTAGCTATCCCTGTTCTCAACACAGACTACACCATTAGATGCAGCTTGAGTTCCTCTATAAGCAGACATATAAACTATACCCATCATGCGGGTATCCTTCATGCTTATCGAGTTCCAGGCTATCAGTCTGAGTCGACCCTAAGATCTGTCAGCTCACTGTTAGGTAGCTTGCCACATCTTCCAAAGGGGTTTTCTAGCAGCTATTCACTGTGTCGTAGTTCTCGCGGTTCCTGCTATCATGTTTCTATTGGGTTCTCAACATTCCGAGTAAGCAGTCTTAGCATAACGGAATCTGCCAGTGGTGAATGTCCTAGTTACACGCAGGTGATACGATACCCTTGGAGTCTCCTAAGGCAACCGGTGCCTTGGGAATGGAAATCGCGGAAGAAGCTGGAGGCCTATATTACGAGAGAAGAAACTAGACTTCTCACCACCAGTCTCTGCTTTACACCAGATCAACTGATCAGAATACCTCCTAAGCCCCGGACTACGAAGATTTCGACCACTGGAGATTCAACTGCTGGAGCAGAATGGCAGCGTGGAAGCTGGAACTGCTACTCCGGCTGGAGAGGGTCAGGACGCTCCCGCTCCTTCGCCAGCTCTTGCTGAATCCGTCCCGGCACCGGTCGCGTCAGCAGCTCCCGCGCCTGCAGTGCATGTTTCTGAGGAAGGGGATGACGAAGATGAAGATGAGGATGACGGATACTTAAGTGATGATCCGGATGAAGGCATTGATGTTCAAATGAAGGGAATGCTTGCGTCCAAGACTCGCGTCACGCTGACGTTGCTGATTCCGTTTGAGCTGGCAAGCGAGATGCTTGTGGTGAAGCCGTCGGTGAAGGCGCTTCTGGTGTTTCTGCGGAAGAAGCTGTCGGACAACGCTCTGGACGGTGTGGCGTTTCAGGAGCTAATCCCGATGTACCTGTCCAAGATCCACTTCAGTCGACTTCAGGTCACGCTTCCCTCGGCCGACGACGCGGAAGTAGTCCACCAGCACCGCGTGCAGCACATCGTTGGGACCACAAAGCACCATTTCGGCTGGCAGCACCCGGTCAACCGCTCGTTCCTGAAGGCGAAGAGCGACCTGCCGGAAGGGGAGGAAGTTCTACTCAAGGGGGTTCCTGCGGAGATTACGCTTCTCATTCTTTACGAGTTGTTGGTGGTCGCGAAGTGGCAGAAGCGCGGTCAATTGGCGTTTCTGCAAGGAGCAGGTTTTCATCGCGTGGCTGATCCAGTCTCTGGCTTGGACACGGACAAGATCCGTGGTCTGGTGCTTCCACATCCCGGCAACAAATACCATTGGCGTCATCTGGTTGAGGATCCGCTCAGCTACGCGACGTTCCTGGTGCACTTTCCATCACTATCCTGCTGCTACTGCCAGGGTCAGCATATGGATAAGTTGCATAATGGATACGTGCGTGAGCATCGCAACAGCATCGCCAAGTGGAACTTGTCGCTAGGTAGGGTCCATAATATCAATGGTGATGGGGGGGGGATCTTACCAGGGGTTTCTTGCCGTCGATTGGTCTTATTGTTCTTGCTCGCTAACGTCGATGTGATGGGTCCATCCTGCAGCGGCCTCCCTCCAGTTGGCAGGGGTAGTGAGAAAGATTCTCCGGGAACCTGCTCTGGTCCTGCTCCTTTGGTCATGGAGCGGCACTGGGTGCGGCTGGCATTGCGACTCGTGCGAGCAAGGCGAAGCATAGTCTGCAGGCGGCGAAGAAGCTGTATGGGATTCGGGCGGAGACGGCAAAGGCGAAGTGACTCGGATGCATGGAGTTAGGTGGCATGTCTGTGTATCAGGGAGTAGCGGTATAAGCGATGGAGTTGTGTCTGTACCTGTCTGGAGTATATTCGCAGAGCATTGCACTTACAACAACACCCTCACCTCCGGCCCATGGATGCAAAGGGGCCTATCACAAGTTCCAAATGTGTAAACACACCACACTCACCTTCCGCATCATGAACGTCAACGGTCTGGGCTGTCTGCAGAAGCAGCAAGAAGTTTGGGACTGGATATCACAGGTAGCCCACATAGCCATCCTGGCTGACACACGGATCTCGGCGGATCATAATTTTTGGAGTCAACTGAGAGCAGACACAGTGTTAGCCGCAAAACCAACGGCAAGGGCTGAAAAGGAGGCAATAGTCTTACGTAACAGCGAGGTGTCCTGCTCGGACATGGTCAGCGATGCGTCCGGGCGTTTGGCACGATTAACTCTGTCGTGGCGAGGCATGGTGATGACAGTTGTGGCGGCATACTTCCCGTCGAGCCCAACGGCAAGGGCCCCCTTTTTTCGGGGTGTGCTCCAGCCGTTCCTTGCGGCGACACCTGTGGGAAATCATCTCATGCTGGCAAGGGACCTGAACGTAGTGGAGGATCCAGCGCTGGACAAAACGTCGGGAGCGGTCTCAAGGGGGGAGAATGACAGTCTGATGGCGATTTGCAGCAGCTTTGATGTTCGGGACGCCTTCAGGGCCCTTCATCCCTGCCTGCGGGAATACACATTCTACGCAGCAGCGGTACAGGAGAGCACGAGAATTGACCGGATTCTACTCTCGCAGTCGCTGCTTCACCAGGTTCATGAAGTACGGCACGCGGAGCTGGTCAAAAGGTTCACGGATCACTGGTGCACGGTTCACCTGAAACTCAGTGTGGGGGGAGACGGGGAGTCAGACCCGGGCCTCTAGAGACTTCCTGCGTCGCAAATGCCGTGTCTTGGGGTGCGGAAGCGGGTGGACAAGATTGTGCATAAGAACACGGAAAGAGGGGGGGACTTGGAGTCCCTAACGGCGTCTTTAAGGGTGGGCCTCAAGGCCTACAATGTTGAGGAGCAGAAGTGGGTGGCAGCCACAACGGCGCATCTGGTGCGGGAAGTCGGAACCTGAGACAGAGGGTGATGAGTATGTTAAAACTTGAGCTTAGAATCCATGCACTAGTAATGAGCTCAAGGCTCTTTAAGTACATTGGATATGGGCAAGGTAAAGGTGGGGAGAGAATCAGGGGCAATCCTAGGGAATTGGGGGTAATCCCAAGGCAATCTCCAATTGGTGGGTTGGAGATTGCTTGGAGATCACATTTGGGTTTGGTTGGGATGTGGGTGTACACTCAACCAAACACAAAGTGCAAACTACACTAAACTAGGATGTAAAAAGTACAAGTGCAAATGTGAGATTGAGGGCTAACATTAACACCCCCCCATAGGCGTCAATCGAACTCAGGGCTGAGAAGGTGGAACGCATAGCCCCATGGCGCCCAGAAGGCGATGGTGAGGAACCTTCCCAAGGGGCTTGGTGAACAAATCAGCCAAGTTGCAGTCAGAAGCCACATACTCCACATTGAGCTGCTCCCGCTGGACAAGGTCACGGATGAAGAAGTGCCGAAGTTCGATGTGCTTGGTGCGAGTGTGGTATACGGGATCCTGGGAGAGGTGGATGGTGCTCTTGTTGTCACACCAGAGGGTGGGAGCAGGCTGAGGGTAGCCAAGCTTCTTGAGTAGGAAGGTGAGCCAGCGGGCCTCTTGAGCCGCCATGGTGCCAGCATAGAGCTCTGCCTCACAGGAGGAGAGGGAGACTACTGAAGACCGCGTGGAGCGCCAGCTGATAATTCTGCTCCCAAGGTGAAGCAATAGCCTTGGGAAGAGCGTCTGTCGGTCTGGTCATCGGCCCAGGAGGAGTCTGTGTACCCTTCCAGTCAGGGAGGAGAAACCCCACCAAGGGTGAGGACATGAGACTTGGTTCCCTGCAGATAGCGCAGCACCCGCGTTGCCGCTTTCCAGTGAAGGTCAGTGAAGCGTCCAGGGGCCACATGGCGAGAGAGGACACTGACAGGTATGCCAGATCAGGCCGGGTGCACATCATGGCGTACATGAGGGACCCAACAAGCTCTGGTTATGGCTCAGTGCAGGCCTCTGGTGTAGGGACAGCTAGAGCGGTGAGGAGGTGCTGTAATGGCAGCGGGGTGGCCATGGGTGTGCAGAACTCCATCTCAAAGCGCTTGAGTACATTGTTGATGTAAAACGCGTAGGAGAGTGAGATGGTGCGAGCCTGACGATCACGAGTGATCTCCATCCCCAGGTAGTGCTTGAGGTCACCAAGGTCTTTCATCAGGAGAGCCTTGCTTGTTAGGAGGTGGAGGCGATCGTGGACTGTGGGATCTGTGAGGTGTGTGCGTGGCTGATGGATGGTGAGGGAAGCAGCAAGCTCAGCGTGGTGTCGCATGCCTGTGGGGTGGAGAGTCTGCCATTCCGCCTCCTCCACAATTTCCAGAGGTACAGGTTGTTCCTCCTCTGATTCTGCTTCCTCAGGTGCCTCTGCCACGTCTGCTTCCTTGTCTTCGCTGACTTTGGCTTTCCCCTTTGTCGGAAACTTGGTCTCTTTGTCACTCCTCCTGCTTTGTCCCTCCCTGCTCCGTACCTTCTTTCTTCTGTCCCACCCTTGGTCTCGTGGCAGCTCCTCCTACCCTGTCCCTCCTTTCTCTGTACCTCCCTTCCTCTGTCTCACCCCATCAAGTTCCTCAGCTCTCTCTTCATGCGCTGGGTTGCTGCCCCTGCCTTTCTCACTTTGTGTGCTCTTGGCTCCTTGGACTCTCTCTGGGTCTTCCTAACTCGGCTGACTGCCGAAAAGCACTGAGTGGAAACCCTCAAAAGGCTTGCTGGGATTGGCTCCTCCCCTTTGCGCAAATACGAGTATGGTTGTAGGTAGCTCTTAGCTGATAGAGGAAACATACAAGCAAGCAAATGATACTGCTCGTGTTGCTTGCCTAAGTATGTGCACTTGGTTACTGTTGCACGGCAACGGTTGGTTTTGTTTCGTCAGTTCCCGATCTGGCGCTATTCGCCTCTGCCTCACCCCGCTTGAATACTACTCACTACGGTACCCTGTCATGCATTTATATTGATATGCCCTACTCACTATTCTTCAATTAAATGTATGACAGCTGTCGGAAACTTGGTCTCTTTGTCACTCCTCCTGCTTTGTCCCTCCCTGCTCCGTACCTTCTTTCTTCTGTCCCACCCTTGGTCTCGTGGCAGCTCCTCCTACCCTGTCCCTCCTTTCTCTGTACCTCCCTTCCTCTGTCTCACCCCATCAAGTTCCTCAGCTCTCTCTTCATGCGTTGGGTTGCTGCCCCTGCCTTTCTCACTTGCCCCCTCCTCGGCGCTGGCTCTTGCTCTGGCATGTATCGCCGATGGACTCTTTGGGTGAAAGGCTCCTCCCTTGCCTGCTCCCTCTGCTTTGCTGGGCCTGGGGATACTCGCTAGGGCCATACCTTCGCCACATTCGTCTGATGGTCCCTCTTCTCTTGCCCCTTGTCCCCCACTAGCACTACTACTCTAGAATCTTTGACCTCTTTCACTTTCCACCTCTCAGTGCTGAGCCCTATATCCAGCATATCTTGCCTTGCCTGCTTGACATATACTTCTTCCCCCACCCCCAACGGTGCACCCTTCGACCCTGCCTGTCCTTCTCTCCTTCGTTTGTAGCGCTGTGCATCTCTGAGCTGTGCCACATGCAGGTTCTCCAACGCCGCTGGCAGCATCTCTCGCAGGTACCTTGCCCTAACCTCGGCCAGCCCCACCCATGCGTCTTCCGAGCTCACTGTGACCACATCGGTCAGTACTCGTGGCGCGTCTATGGGCAAGATAGGCTCCCTTCCCAGCAGCAGGTAGTACGGCGAGAAGTCCTTTAACGCCGCCTGCTTACTGAAGCGGTAGCCTGCGACCACCCACGGGAGTCTCGTGTCCCAGTCCCTCTTGAATTGTTCCCCGTAAGCTCTCAACCCTCTCTTCATAGTCTGCACAAACCGCTCCGTGAGCCCGACGCTCTGCGGGTGATACCTTGAGGTCAGCCGATGCGTAATACTGCTGGTTTTCAGTAGCTTCTCGAATTCTCCCAAGAATTCCGTGCCCTGATCTGTCAATACTTCCCCACATGCTCCGAAGCGAGTCAACACTTGATCCTCAAATGCCTCAGCGATTCGGGCCGAGCTCTTGCTCGGCAGCGCCTTCACCTCCACCCACTTACTGTCGTGCTCGATCATGATGAGTATGAACCGCTTCCCCCTTCGACTGAGCGGCATTTCTCCGGCCAGGTCTAATGACCACCGGAACCCTAGGCCTCTGATAGGCAGCGAGTGCAGCTCTTCCCTCCCTCTCTCCATCTCCGCTTTGTTCCTGCTGCATAGTTCGCAGGAGCCCACCCACTCTTTAATGTCTCCTCTCATTCCGGCCCACCACCAGCCCGTCTCTATTAACTGGCTCGTCCGTAGGCTGCCATAGTGCCCAAGCTGCCGATGCACCCTCGCTATGATCTCTTCCCGCTCCTCTCGCCTCGGGACCAGCTTCCATCCTTCTTTAGTGTTTTTCTGAAGCTGATCCTGGAACCACCGGTAATGCAGGCCCCTGGCTCTGGCCCTCTCGCTTGCAGGTTCTGCTTTCGAGGTCTTTCCTTGGATCCACCTCAGAGTCTCTTCATCCTCCCAGACGTCTTCGGCTCCCTTCTGAGCTTTCCGTTTGGCTCCTTCCCCATCGATTTCTCTTGCCAATACCACTAGGCACGCCTCTAGGCTCGAGGGTGGCGGGTTGCGCGATAGCCCGTCTACATGCTGCAATGTCTTTCCCGCTCGGTGGCGAATAGTGAACTCATATTCCTGCAGCCGCATGGCCCATCGAGCGTTCCGGCCTGTCAAGGCCTGGTTGGTCATCAGCCACGTCAGCGGCTGATGATCTGTGACTAACACGAACGGCCTCCCCTGTAGGTACACC